GTTGCTTCAATTTTTTTGTGCAATTAGAGCTATCAGATCTGGGTTGCAAGCCCACTTCTGTGTTTCTTTACTGCCTTCTGATGGCCATCCAGATTTTTGTAGCCTAGATGTCATAAACTTAGTACAACCATGCACTGCTCTGAGCTGTTCTTGGTTCCACAATCTCAATTCTACCATGAGACTTTGTGGAACTCCTTCCTGACTTGCGTGCTGAACATGATGCCCCTGCTTCCAGTTTTAGATAGGCTTTGCCTCATATCTGCTCTCAGCCCTTTACATTTTCCCTCAGATGGTGTCCAAAAACTCTGGAGACTATTGGATCATTAGGCAACCATCTTGCCTGGTTCACTGGAGCAGTACATCACCCAAATGATGAACGTCCCTAAAACAATTTGTTCTTTTAAAAAAACCAAAAATAGCAAGGACAATTTTATAGCTACAGCTTTTGATATTTTAGCTTGCTGTTTTTCATATAGAGTTCCTTCTATCATTTTTTAAAAAGTTGACAGCATCAATCTTATGAAGGATTATTTATATTTTTATTTGAAAAGCACCTTGAGTTGACTCGACACAAGATGGAATTATTTATGGGAGATGGAGACTTTTGCTGCTACTGTTGTCCTCAGCTGCTACTATATTTATTTATTTTATTATTCTTGGTTGTTTAATTTTGTTTAATTTTTTAACCAGAACCACTAAAGATGTGAGATGGACAAGCTGATTTAAATAAATAAATGATGCCCCTCCAAAAAACTCCTATACTGTGCTCTGCTATTTGTTGAAAAGTTCATATGTTGTTAAATGAATCGGAAAGTTCATTTTTCCTTAGCTGCTAATTACACCTTGTTGTAAACTGTCAAGGGTCACCTGATGATTAAATGGATGGCATATAAATTTAATAAATAAATTAAAACAAATAACTGTACAAATGCAGCTATGGACACTTACATGGGAACATGCCATATAATGCATCTAATATATAACAGATATGATATATGAATAGAATAGAATAGAATAGAATAGAATAGAATAGAATATTGGAAT